ACGACCACGCCCCAGCACGACACCCCCACGACCACCCCCCCAGCACGACCACCCCCCAGACCACCCCCCAGCACGACCACCCCCCAGCACGACCACACCCCAGCACGACCACTCCCCAGCACGACCACACCGCCTTGGTTGAGTGGTTGCCTGTCGTCGTGGAATGTTTCGTGGGGTGTCTCGTGGAATGTTTCGCGGGGTGTCTCGTGAAATGTTTCGTGAGGTGTCTCGTGGAATGTTTCGTGAGGTGTCTCGTGGGCTGTTTCGTGAGGTGTCTCGTGGGATGTTTCGTGAGGTGTTGCCCAGTTGGGTATCATGAAAACGTGTCCATGCTCCACATGTCTATATCCCTTTCCGGGTTCGTGGGTCCATCATGTTTGGTTGTTTGAACGGTGTCTTTAATAATGTGCCACAATGGTGGGACTTGTGTGTAAATTATTGTAATTGCCGTAATTGCTGGACCTAGAAGCCAATCTGTTCCATAGTGGTGAGGACCCTCTACCCCCATGCCAGTTATTATCTGGACCCGTCGTCGTCGTCGTCGTCGTCGTCGTCGTCGTCGTCGTCGTCGTCGTCGTCGTCGTCCTCGTCGTCGTCGTCGTCGTCGTCGTCGTTCGTCGTCGTCGTTCGTCGTCGTCGTCGTCGTCGTCGTTCGTCGTCGTCGTCGTCGTCGTCGTCGTCGTCGTCGTTGTCGTCCTCGTCATCGGCGTCGTCGTCGTCGTCGTCGTGAACTTTTCGCCCCCCTGGGTTCGAGCTCAGGGGAGGGCAGGGCTTTTGCTCCCCCTCCCCCCCCGGTCCCGAGGAGGGTGGCTCCTCCCCCCAGGGTCCCTGGGGGGTTGGGTGGGCATTTTTCCAGGAAGGCGCCCGCGAAACGCGCTTTCTTCCTTCTGCCTTCCGCAGCCTGCTTCCGTCGTCCTCGTCGCCGTCGGTCGCCACCCCAGCACTGCGGGACGCCCGCGACCCCCCCCCCCTCCTGCCACCCAGGCCGCCGTTGTCTTCGCTGTCGCTCTCGCTCGTCGGTCCTCGTCCGCCCAGAACTGCAGGGCGCCCGCGCCATGGGGGGCAGGGCGCGCCGTCGACCGGTCCGACCGGCCCCCTCCCCGCCGCTCCGAAGGCAGCCCTCGGGCCGCCCCGGGCCTCCTCCGGAAGTCCTGTGGGAGAGTCGATCCGGAGGGGCCGCCCTCCGTGGATGCCTCCGTGGGCCGAGCTCCTTGGCACGCTGTTGTGGGGGCCACGGGGCTGGCGATCTCTTTGGGTTCGTTGTCAAAAATTTGAGCTCGCCCCTCCTGGTCAAAAGGCAAGCCCCTTACCTTCAGTGCTAGAACCCGATTGAGGCCGTCGGTTGGAAGGCGTTGCTTGTGCCCAGTTCCCAATCTGCTGCAACATTCTTCCCACGCCAATCATCGAGGATATCTTACTTCGCCCGCCCCAAACCCGACCCAATTCATAGTTTTGGGCATCCTCGTACCTGGGCGGGCTTTATCCGCCTTCCTGTGTAATGCTTGTACTTCCCTCTTCCGATCGTCTTGTAGTGACCTCTACAAAGAACCTGATGCATTGAGGAGGGAGAGAAATGAGAGGAGGAGGAGGAGGAGGAGGAGGAGGAGGAGGAGGAGGAGGAGGGGGAGGAGGAGGAGGAAGAGGGAAAGGAGCAGGAGGAGGAGGAGGAGGACATGGATGCGAGATGACTGGCAGCAGCACTCACGAGCTACTTCAAGTATTCTGACTCAGTGTCCTCTCGCTCTCTGTCAGCTGTTTTTGCCCATCTCTGCCCGCAGCTGTGTTGCACCCTTGGGGCGCCGTGAGCGCGCTAGAACTGAAGCGCTTGCATAGTCCTTGAGATCTGGGTGTCGCTGGTTTCTGTCGCGCCCGACGGTTTCAGCCTGTTTCGGGTCCCAGGGCCGTCACATATCGAGTCGGCGCGCGAATGGCCACAGTAAGATACTCCGAGTTTCTCAACAAGCGTCGGGGGGGCGTCACCCCCGCGGGCAGCCCCACATCGATCCCCGTCGCGGTCAGCCGCCGCGCGCCGAAGGCGTTCCGACCCCCGTCGCGGCGCGACGACGAGGCGAGGTTGACCCCCTCGGAAGATTACCCCCCCCACGCTTATTAGAAACCCAGAGGAGCATCTGGTGCTCCAGGCGTCAGTATGTTCAAGGCGGTTGGATCTTCTGTCGCGACGTCGGATCTCAGGGGCAAAACGTCTGACATCTGGTGCGTTGCCGACTCGCCACGCCTGATTTCTGAGCAGCCGCTGGCAGTCTCAGTCTCCACCTTCCAGCAGAAGTGATCTTCAGTGGGTCGGATCACCAGGCCGGGGCCCGTATCGATTCGATCGATCCAACTCGAGACCGGTCTTGCCTGGTTCGATCGGGTTCGGTGTAGATTTTCGGGCGATCCGATGCGGCACGATACTTTCACGATTTGGTTGTGTAACCTGGTGCGGTCGCCTCATCCTTGTCGCTCCTCCTTTTCCCTGTTCCGTCGTCGTCGTCCTTTTCCTCCTTCCTCTTTCTCCCTCCGCCCTCGTGGCTTCGGGAGAGGGGACGATTCGCGCGCGGCAGTGTGGGGAGAGGGGGGATTGAGTGACCCTAGAAGACTTCAGAAACCCTTCCATGCAGCACTTAGCAGTCTAGCACGCCTCAACGTGCCAGGTAATTGACGGTGGCGGATGACGGGAAGCGTCACGAGGAACGAGAAGCGAGCTGGACGTTCTGGGGTGAATCTGTGGCCCTACACAAAGCATTCGCACACATAATTGCCGTTCGTGTGCACACGGGGTCGGACGTTAACGGATGACGGGAAGCGTCTCCGAGGAACGAGAATCGAGCTGGACGTTCTGGCTGAATCTGTAACCTTGTAGAAAGTATGAACGTACGTATCGTTCGGGATCCCACGGGTTCGGACGTCAGCAGATGACTGGAAGCACGCTCAAAGTCGAAGAGTCGCGCGATGGACGTTGCTATGGACCCAGAGGGATGTGCTGCTGTGGTCTGCCATGCAAGCCTGCCGTGCTCCTGTGGTCTACCATCCCCCCCTGGACCCCCCCCAACTGATAAATCTATCCCTCTGGTCGACATGCGTCCATCGCGCGACTCTTCGAGTCCATTTGACGACGCTACCCCAAGATCAAGAGGTCTTGCGAGCCTTCACGAGGCCAGCCGCGAGGCCAACCCGCGCGCGTGTGCGTGCGAGGACACCACACGCGAGGCGACCACCTTCTGGTGGGAAGCTTCGCACGTCAGTGCTCGGTCCTCTGACCGAGGAACTGGTGGTAAGCTGTGGGACTCTAAACAGCGAGCACTTCAAGCGAGCCTAGACAATGACAGAGTAGGTCACACAGGATCCGCCCTTACCAGCTCGCGCAACAGTCGGCAACACTCCTGGTTGACGCAGGGTACGCGGGCGAGCAGGGAGTCAATATGACAATCTACCTGCGGATTACAGGGCCGAGCCAAACTCAAAGTCACCACCGCAACGGCGCTGCGGAGGCCGACCCAAACTCAGAGTCATCACGGCAGCACAGGGCCCTGAGGGAGAAGGCAAAGAGTAGCTATGTGCGCGCAAGTGCGTAGAAAATCACAAAACTGATAACAGGCAACTACCCGCACTCACCGTCGGAACTGGTTCCCCTCGGCCGTGGCCTGTGTCTTGAACGCATCCTGAGGTGCGAGTGTGGGAGACCAGACAAGAGGCGTATCGGTGGAAGCATAGTCACAGAGGACGGAGTAGACTGCAGACTGCACGTAATTGTGAAGTACGGATACTCGCACTCCCACTGCACCTGGATCGTGAAGAACGCGCTGTGGACATTGCCCCGGCGAAGTGGGCCGCACGGTTGGGCTGCTCAAGAGCACCGGCGCCAACCCCGGGTCAGGCGCACGAGAACCACAGCATGAAATAGCGACCAGGCCCATTAACAGTGGTTGCCGTGTGCATCTCGCCTGTAGCAGCCGTAAGTGTGATGTTCCGCCGTGAAGAGTAGCCACATTGCGTAGCTTAATCACGATGTCCAAACCCTCGAAGAGGTCGGCCTTGTACCACACTCGCCTTCTGGCGAGGATGGCGCAGCAGGCGTCTTGGACGCTTCGTATGCTGTGCGCTCGCTCGCCTCGGCCATTCGGATTCCCCTTCAGCATGAGGCTCCAGGAGGATCGTGCCGTCCCCCAACGCTCGCCTCCGCACCAAATCACCCAGAACAAGACATCATCGCAGGCACACAAGCCAAAAGTTCGTTACACGAATGTGTGAGTGAGTGGCTGCAACAAGGGAAGGGCGAGTGGGACTTGCGACCCACTAAGGCACAGTGTACGACAGAACGCATCACTTCGGCCCTGCGGTTTCTAAGCGCTCTTCCCGTCATCCGCCAGGCGGGGAGCAAGGAAGAACATGGAGCTTTTCCCCTCCTGCAGCTCCCCAGTTGGAAGACCACAAAAGCATGGCATCCGTAACCATGTTGGCTCAAGCCAGTCTTGGGCGCGTGCGAGCTGGCTCCGGGAGATGGCGCGGGCGGAGGTGCCTCCTGGCGATTCCTGGTGCAAACAGGTGTGGCGGCGCTCACGCGCGGAGCGGTCGACCGCGAGGCGTCTGGCCCTTGCCGCCGTGGACCGCAGGCTGGCTTCGGCTCTTGCGGACGTGGCAGGGCTACGCGCAGAGTTGGAGAAGGCCCGGGCGCTGCGCGCAGCGCTGGCACGGGCGGTGAGCGACGGCGAGGTGGGCAAGCGGCTGGTTGCTGTTGCCCCCGCCCTTGCCGCCCTTCTGGCCGGAGTGAAGCCCATTCCTTCGGGCGAGCTCCCCGGGGGCGTGGCGCTGCGCGCGGCGGCGGAGGGCGTCGACGTAGCGACCGCTGACGCCGGCCAGCTGCGCGTTGCGAGGCGCGGGCCCCGCCTCGGCCTGCAGCGGCCCGCCGCGGGCGCGGTGTGCGAGGTGGGGGTCTGCCTCGCCGCGCCCGTAAGCGCGGCCAGGGGCAGGCTGCGCAAGGAGGCGGCCCCTTTCTGGCCATGCCGGCCCCTGGGCTGCCGGGTGGGGCCGGCGGGCGTGGGCGCGTTGTTGGGCGCGCTTGCGGGCTCGCAGGCGGACGGCCGCAAGCGCGCGGAGGAGCTCGAGGAGGCGGGGCTCAGGCGGGGCGGCGTTGCCCAAGCGGTTGGCGTTGCAGTGCGCGTGGATGCCCAAGGGATGGCTGCCCGCCATCGGACGCTCGTGGCGCGCGGGCTGTTGGGCCAGGCGCGGCCCGAAGGGGGCCGCTGGACAGCGGCGCTGCAAGCGCGATCGCGCCGCCGCCGCCTGTGTCCAAGGCCCAGGTGTCCGAGGTGCCCGCGTTCGTCGGTGGCGAGCTCTGCGTCTCGGGGCCTGTCGACGCGGGCGCTGCGAAGGTGCCGCTTTTACATTCGGCTTCGGACGACGGCGCGATGGCGGTCGACGAGGAGTTTCAGGATGAGGAGCCGGGGGGCCTCGAGTGCGTGCCCAGGCAGGTCCGCCTCGGAGACGCAGTCGTCTATGACGTGGGTTGCCTCAAGGCCAGCAGATCCCACTGCTACGCCGACGATGTCTGGGGCCTCTCTCGCCTTGCGGGGGCCGAGGACGTGGGGGGCAGTCTGGTGGCCGAGGCGTTCGGCCTGGCCCCCATCGTCGCGCGGCCATCCATGCGGGCGTTGTTCTCTGAGCGCGTTGAGGCTGCTGGGCCCATGGGGCAGGGCGTGAGGATTCGAAGGCGGTGGGAATGTCAGGCGATGTTGGACTCCTTCAGCGGCTGTTAGCGAGCGCCTACCTCAGGAAACTACCCACGCGCGATTCTTTGCAGTCTTCTGTAGCTGGTTGTGTGTGTGCTGAGGGGAGCTCATGCTCGTGCCAACATCGTGCGAGTGGCTCTTGTCTTTGAACGTATTTTTGTACGTGTGCAATGCAGTCGGCGCTCGCTGGGTTTCCTCGTGGGCCCCGATCGCGAAGCCCTTCGGCTGGCCGCCCGAGGTCGGGCGCCGCCCTGCGGGGCTCCCCGTTTTCATTTGTTTTTCTCCCCCCCTTTTTTTTCCCGGAAAGGGCTCGGGCCCAGGGTTCTCTTTTAGTTTGTAAACTTAATCCCCCGGTGCCTGCTTGAAGGAGGCCGGCGAATTTTTTCCCTGATAAATAACGAGGTCGAAGGAGGCCGGCGAATTAAAATTTGAGGATGTCTCGAGCGAAACGCTTGTTTTTGAAATCCCGATCGATAAATCACAGGGTGCGGGACACCTCAGCACGACCACACCTTCAGCATGACCACACATCAGCACGACCACGCCCAGCACGACCACGCCCCAGCACGACCACACCCCAGCACGAACACACCTCAGCACGACCACACCCCAGCACGACCACACCCCAGCACGACCACACCCCAGCACGACCCGACGAGACACCCCAGCACGACCACACCCCACGACCCACCCCAGCACGACCCCACCCCAGCACGACCAGCACGAGCACGACACCCCAGCACGACCCACACCCAGCAGCACGACCACCCAGCACGACCCACACCCCAGCACGACCACACCCCAGCCGACCCCCCAGCACGACCCCACCCCAGCACGACCACACCCCAGCACGACCACACCCCAGCACGACCCCACCCCAGCAAAACCACACCCCAGCACGACCACACCCCAGCACGACCTCACCACAGCACGACCACACCCAGCACGACCACGCCCCAGCACGACCACGCCCCAGCACGACCACGCCCCAGCACGACCACCCCCCAGCACGACCACCCCCCTAGCACGACCACACCCCAGCACGACCACCCCCCAGCACGACCACACCCCAGCACGACCACACCCCAACACGACCATTCTCCAGCACGACCACACCCCAGCACGACCACACCCAGTCGCACCCCCGTGGAATGTTTCGTGGGGTGTCTGGTTGAGTGGTTGCGTGTTCGTGGGGTGTCTCGTGGAATGATGTGTTTCGTGGGTTGTTTCGTGAGGTGTCTCCTGGGATGTTTCGCGGGGTGTCTCGTGGGATGTTTCGTGAGGTGTCGCCCACTTGGATATCGTGAAAACGTGACCATGCTGCACATGTCTATATCCCTTTCCGGGTTCGTGGGTCCATCATGTTGCCAGCTGTAGGCAGCCGACGTTCCATCCCATTCCACGAGAACGCTGCAGACCAGGAGCGTGGCAGACTTCAACAACACGGCAGACCACATGAGTGCGTCAGACCACCATGGCAGACAACAGGGCCACGGCAGACCAGCGCGGCAGAACCCCACCAGCCCCGCAGACCACGCGAGCACGGGGCAAACCACCGCAGCACGGCAGACCAGCACGGCAGACCACAAAAAGTGTAAATCAGCACAGCGGACGGCAGGAGCAGGGCAGACCAGCGCGGCGGACCATAGCAGCACGGCAGACCAGCGCGGGAGACAGTGGGAGCGCGACAGAAAATAACAGCACGGCAGACCACCTGGGCACAGCAAGCCACAGGAACATGTCAGACCAGCATGGCAGACCGCAGCAGTGCAGCAGACCTTCGCTGCAGACGTCAAGAGCACGCGGCAGACCATAGGGACACGGCGGACTAGCACGGCGTACCAACGGCAGACCAGCACGGCATGCCACAAGCACGGCGGACGCCGAGTCCGTAGCCGTTTTGGCTCAGGAAGTTTCTGTCCCGCGGACAGACAGTGGATGCCTCTGGCCCGAGGCTAGCATCCGATTCCTGCAATCCCAGTCGAGTTGCGCGCTGCTGGGGCCCAGAGGTTCACCGAGAGCAGCGGGGCGCTCCTTGTCCTAGCTTGGAGGCGCGGCCATGGCGCGCTCCCCTGGGGCGCCGCCTGCGCCGCCGAGTGGGGGCTGCTGGTGGTGCAGCTCGAGCTCGTGCCGAACCTGGGCCTGGGCGTCGATGGGCCAGTGCGACGGTTGTGGTGCGAAGGCCCCCCCGCGGTCCAGGATGCGCTCGCGGTCGCCAGCGCCTGCGGCCAAGGATGGGCCCGAGGCGGAGGGCGCTCGGCGGCTGGATCGCGCGGCCCCGAGGGCGCCAGGCTCAGCGCCAGGCGCGGAGGGCTACGCGTGCGGCATCGGGCAACAGCGGCCGCAGCGCTGTCCAGATCCCGGAGAGCGGCGGCAGCGGGCCAGCCGGCGAGGTCCAGGGCATCCTGGATTCCATCGCGCGCCTCGAGGACCTGCGCGAGCACCCCCCGCTGGGGGTTTCTGGCAGCGTCGTCGCGGAGATCGAGGCCCAGCTGGTCCGCGGGCGAGGCGAGCTGGAGGAGGCCCCCGCCGCGGCGGAGGTGGCCAAGGCAGCTGGGCTGCCGCGCTCCGCGCGCATGCTCAGGGATGCCAGCGCTGCGGGCAAGGCGGAGAAGCGCCTCGGCAGGGCCCGCGAGGCCCTTGAGGCCAAGCGGGGGGCGCGCGAGGAGCTCTTCGAGCAGCTTGCCGCCCTCGGCGTCGAGCTGGGGGGGGGGGCGAGGAGGCTTTCCTCCGCCTGGAGGCCGAGATCCAGCGGCGGGGGCCGAGCGGCTGCGCCCGGCGGCGGAGCTCGCCGAGCGCAGCCATGCACCTGGGCTGCTCGCGCAGCTCCGAGGCCTGCAGGCAGCGCATCGCGCCGGCAACTTCGAGTGCGCGTGGTCGGAGATCGAGAAGCAGATGTCGGCAGTGGCGGCGCAGCTCGCTCTGGCCCGATCGATGACGAACTGGGCGCCAGTGACCACGATGTCTTCCTCGCCTCGACCGCCGACAAGGCCGAGATCCGACGGGTTTGGCCAGCCCAGCCTGCGGCCATGCTGCGAGACCAGGGTGGGCGGTTCGGGGCAGCCGCGGGGCTGTGGCCATGCGTCTCGGAGGCGGCATGGCGCCCTGCGTCGGATGCTGAGAGGGCCCCTTTGCGGCCTGCTCCCGTAGGCGAGTGCGGCGGCGGCAGTGCAGCAGGATCCGCGGCAGTGGGGCAGTCAGGCTTCTGACCTCGAGGTCTGCCATGTGTGCCCCCTCCCAGTGCCGAGGCGCGGCGGCCAGGTTGGCCTGCCCCTCGGCCAGTCGGGCCCACGATGCGACGGCGCCCTGGCCGACCTGGATAGCACGACTTGGTTTGGCCAGGCGGGCCACCCCCCCGCAGGGCCGAGAGGCTCGGGCCAGGTGGGCCCGCCCCGAGGCCAGCCAGACCCGCGAGGCAGCAGCGCCCTGGTCGGCAGCCGCAGCCCGAGGAGAGGCGGCCAGGAGGGCCCCCCACAGGGCTGAGGGGGCGCGGAACAGTCGGACCCGCGAGGCGAGTGCGCCCTGGCCGACTGCGCGCAGCCCTGTATAAGCCGACTGGTGCAGATGCGGCCATTTGGCGGCCAGGAAGAGGGTGGGCGCTGCGGGATTCAGCCCCGCGTCCTCGCAGCACTTGCCCTCGGCGGCGGCAGGGGGGCGAAGCAGGGCGGGCCGGGCCAGCAGGCAAGAGGGGCGCGGCGAGCGGCAGCTGCCGACGCCATCATCGGGGGCAGGGTGTGCGACCTCGACCCGACGGCGGAGGCGCCAACGGCCGCTTTCGCCGAGGCCCTCGCGAGCGGCCTCGTCGTGCTGGGCTGCAACGGCAGCGGATGGCGCCGCTCCTCGGAGGTGCTGGAGGGCCACGCGCGCCTGTTTGGTGCCTGGCCGCATGTCGTGACCCTCCGGGAGACCAGGCTCTCGGCGCCCAGCAAGTTGGCCTCCGCGCTTGGCACCCCTGGCTACACGGCCTTCCACCGCGCATCCAAGGCCACGGTGGGCACCGGGGCCAGCTGCACCTCGCGGGGGGTCCCCGCCCCGGTGCGCAAGGATTTGACAGCGAGGGCGAGGGGGGTGCCTTGGACGGTGCCAGTAGGCCTCTCTCACCGATTGCTGGGAGTGGAGGTGATGGCGCCGTCGGACCTGGAGCTCGTGGTCGCCTCGGCCTACTCCGAGCACGCCATCGGTCCGACGGCAGGCAACCTCGACCTGCTGCGAGCGGCGGCGCAGCTCACCATGGCAGCTTGGTGCATGCCGTGGCCCCCGCAGGCGGACTTCAACATGGAACCGGCGACCGTGCAGGAGCTCAGCTGGCCAGACTGTCACCAGGGAGTGGCCATCAGGCCTTGGGTCCCGACGTGCTTTGCGGGAGAAGCAGACGAAGACCTTCGACTGGTTCGTGGCGTCGCAGGCACGGCGAGTGTCTGTCGTCCTGTGCCAGGCCTGGGGCTTCACTCCAACGAGCCTGTGGAGCTCTCCCTCCAGGACGTGAGTCCAGATGCTTCGGTCCAGGTCCAGAAGATGCCTCGGCCTTTCGCGCATCGGGACATCAAGGCATGCGTGGCCCAGGAAGATGCCGTCGCGTCGGCCGAGCGGGGCAATGGCAGCGAGGCCTCCCCGAGCGGTGCTGGCAGCCAGGGGGGGCGGCCTCGCAGCTTCGAGCTTGGCCCGCGGCAGTGGGTGGCAGCAGCTGAAGGGGCGCTGATCGGTATCCACGACATCGACGAGCAGCAGTGGGGCCAGCACTGCCTCCGAGGAGGCGGGCCCGCCCTGGTCACCAAACCGATGCGCGCCCTGACGAGACGCAGACGTCGGGTGCTCCATGCCGCGGTCGCTCGCGAGCTGCGCTGCTTGAACGACTTCGCGCAGCAGCGTATCAAGGCGGAGGTGACGGAGAAGTGCCATGAGTCGCACGAGGAATGGTGCAGCACCGAAGCCCACAGGCGCTGCAAGCGCCTGGTCATCGAGCTGGAGGCTGCGGCCAGCAGCGGGCACGGCTTCGACACCGGTGGCGACTGGGAGGAGCTGATCCA